TCGTTTTTTGTTTCTTACCCATTGATGAAATTCAGGACTACTAAAGCGTAAAATAAAACAAAATATAATTATTTTGCAACTACATAAAATTAATATCCAAAATTATACAAGTAATTGAACCATCTATTGTAATATTCGAACTTGTTTCTTTGATTTTTTGCCATGTTGATATAAACACGAGCAAGCCAACAAATGATGAATGACAAAAGTAAAATAGTTGGAGTCATTCTATACTTGGCACTTGAAGTGTTATTAAGAAAATCATATAAAAAAGGATCAGACATTTTACAGTTGTGGTATGATAGTGTGGGAATTTATTACAGGAAAAAGACCTCAAATCACAGATGATACTCCTGAATTGATGTTGGGATCCAAAACCAGTGAATAGATCAATAGCATATAAGATTTACTAAAATATTCGAGTTTTAAAGAAAAAGATTATTGAATTAGCAGAAGCTAAACAACAAAAAATTATCAAATCAGAAATATATTTAACAGACACATAGAATTATAAACATCATCCAAAATCAGTTTATACAAGTCGTCCACTAAACCAGTGTTGTAATTGGCCTTAAGGTTAAATATTTTTAATTTGGATTTAGCCTAACGGCTAAATTGGCCTTATGGCTAATTGGCTGTTGGGTCAAATAACCCATGTTGTCATTAGCCTTGTGGCCAATTGACAATTAGATCTAATTGGCCTTAAGGCAATTAGCTCAGGCTAAATGTCCCATTATGTAATATAATAATAATAATAATAATAACAACATAAATGTGAACAAAATGTATATAATCATGCAACATCATTGCATGCACGATTGTTTATTTTTATTATTAACATTATTACAGTATAAAAATCAAACCTTTATTATGTCATAAAATTCCCAAGTTTATGTGAATATTCACATTAATATGAATTAGCATATTCGAAATTGGTGTCAAATAATTTTTATATATTCGAATACCCATAACACTTTCGAATATTGTAACACTTTTGAATATTTTACGTTATAATTAAATCATGATAAATGTAATGTTTATGAAAATTAATAAGAAATGGTGATATTAAATCAATTTCCAACTGGTGTACATTGGTAAGCAATTGGATTGAATTAGTTAAAGATGAGGAAATGGACCTTTAGGATGGTGTAAATATATTAGAAAACACAATGCTTGTAGATGAAGACTTGGAATTTGTTGACACCTCTAACATTATACATCCTGCCGATGATGTTGAAGAAAAGTGGAAATTACAAGATCTATTTAAAGATTCTCTTGGGCAACCCGCATATTTAACTTTGCTAATAAATGGATAAAGAGAAAATTTGGTTTTAAATGTATTATGAAATAAATTAAAAGATTATTTTGTTTTAGTTATTTGATAAAATTCATTATAAATTAATTTTAATGTTATGACATTATGGGCTAATTGGAGTTATAATGTCCAATTAGTCTTATGGTCAATTAGCTCGTGTCCAAAAGGCCAATTAGCCCAGGACAATTGACTGACAACACTGCACTAAATGGATCAATTGAGCAAGCTGTATCATCACCAAATCAGTTCAGCAGTGTAGTAATATTGATAATATATTTATCTCGATTGGTTTGGTAATGTTGTATGTGAAATAATTAAAATTTTGGGGTAGGGTGTTTGGATATGAAATTCTGATTGGCTAATTTGAATTTCACATACGTGAATTACAAATTCACATAGATTTCATTTTCACGCACAACAATAATAAATGTATATATTAAATATTACTATTGTTATATATATCTGATCAGTGTCTAAAATATATGTGCGGAACGCTCGCTCCGAACTTAATAATTTATTTGCACACAGTATAATTTTAGTGTACCCAACTTTTATAAATTTGTGGCTTAATGTGTGGGATTCATTTAGATCAAATAAAATATTAAATTATATAAATATATAAATATATATTAATGCCAGTTCACAAATCCTTATTATTATATAAAAAATCATTACTTTTTTTCGCAAGGTATTTTTTTCTGATGAACTTTTTCAAATATAAGATATTTTTTATTCATTCCATTCACATTAAAGCTTTTGAAAAGTATTCAAAAATGGATAAATTTGTTATTTGTGAAAATAAAGAAAAAAGTAATGAAAGATCCAAATAGGCAGTAACTACATAAAAGCAAAAAAATAAGGAAATAACCGGACAAGAATTAAATAAAGTATGTGAAGATTTTGATCCAATTTGGTTACGAGTTTTACTCTTGGCTTGAAAAAAGTGAAGACAGTAATAGAATTTTTATTGTTTACGTGCATATAATGTTTTTATTAATTATGATTGTCCTAACCAAATTCTATAAGAAATAAAAATAATTTATATATATATATTTAATGGGAATTATGGTAACTAATTATCACCATAGAGACGATTTATTTTAACCTTTCATTATTATTTACGGGTTTTTGGTACGTTAAATAAAGTAATGGAATTAGCTGTTAAAGATATATATCTAAATCAAAAATACAGCAGTTTTAAGAAGGCATTCCAAAATAAATCATTTTCAAAAAAAAATTTTTTTAATCATAAAACTTTTTATGCAATTTCTTGTGCCTTAGATAATTAATGATAAATGGTTTGAAATGGCCATTTTTAAATGCAAGAAATTTTACTGTTATCAGCCCCGATGTATCTATACCACAAATTTAAACCAGTAATGTAATTCTAGTTTGTCCAGAATATATGTAATAGATAGATGTTCAACCAACCTGGAACTTCTCTCATATGGATAAAGTTCGGATAAATTGTTAAATAATTGCTGAATAATTATTAATAAAATGACAAAATTCGACTAAATTTAATAAATAATAAATTTTCAAGTGGTCTACTAAAGATGACTCCTCAAACTAATTGCAGCATATGAAATTTAATTGCATCTAATTGCGGTTCCCATCTTTAAATGTTACTAACATGATAAAATGGAATAATGTTATGTATATCACCCTTGTGATTTGACAGCTTTGATTTAATCACCAGTCCCATTTTCTGTTGAAGTTTTCCATATTTCTGAACAGAATTTGTAATTGACTAAAAAATTTTTTTAAAATTGAAAGCATAATAAATAGAAATCTTACTGCAGACTGGCTTGCATGTTCCCTTTCTAAAATATATAGAAAAAATTAAAATTAATGATTTAAAGCAATGAGTAATCACATAATAATATAAATAATATAATAACTAATTTGATTGTCACGTGACAATTCTAAGAAAAGTGATTAATAATTAATAGTATAATGTTATTGCAAGAATATATCAACTAGAACTTTTGATAATTAATAATAGATAAAATATGGTCATGTAACAATTCTTACTGATCGTACACCACCAGATCTAAGCAAAGTGATTAATGTTATTACAAGAATATATCATAATTAATAATAAATAAAATATGGCCACATAACAATTCTTTCTGATTTCGTTTAACCATTAATCTTTGGAAAAAGAAATCATGTAAATATCTTTTAATTTAATTATTTCATTCCTAATACATATATATAAAATATATGAGTATAAAAATAAAAAAGTAAATATTAAAAAAAAAAACATGTTACCATTACTTGGGTTCATAAAACCGTTTTTTATGAATCTCTCTAAAATTAATTAACCAACACTAGATGAGATCTACAAAGCTTGGAAAGCAAGTTTTGTAAAATATACTTGATGAATGCTTTATCTGGTTGTATGATGGGCAGGTTTGATTATTTGAAATGCCATATAAGTATTTAAATTCAAAAAAAAAAACAAAATAGTTCTTTGCCTATTACCATATATTTTTGTATCTTGCTAAGTATTTGATCGAATTGAATGATAATAGATTTAAAAGAAAGCTTGCACATAATATTCTACAATTGGTATATTATTGTTGCTTGCTTATATTATCTAATTATTTAATCGTTATTATTTATGTAAGAATAAAATGTAAAAGGAAAAATTTTAAATGTGTAATATTATTATTTGCATTTATTTCTACTTGTACTTGTAATTGGGACGCGTCAAAACAAAATTTTAAAATTTTACTATCATCCAATTTTATTATTTTTCAACCTGCGGGAAATGTCATGCGTTAATTAATAATAATAATAATATTATTATTATTATAATAATGTATTTTCCGTGTGTTTTTCGTATTAGTGTATTAGTATGTTTAATCAAGTTAAAGTTAAAAAATAAAATGTTTTGTAAGAAAAAAAATGACCACTTTTATTTGTGGATTTATCAGTTACTTAATAATAAAAAAGGTCCATTTTTATTTGCGACTTTATCAGTTACTTCAGAACTATAAAATCTTATTCTCATATTCCATATAATAATAATAATAAATGACATCACGGAAAAAATCCAGATTGCTTGAAATAACGGAAAAATTCTGAAATGCCATTTTTTTACAGGGTAGAAGAAATAGGGTAGAATCAGGTTAGAGTAGTGTCAAAGGCATAAACATATGAAGACTTGAGGTTACACTAAATAACAGCAAGTGCCGTATGCCATATGATCATCAAATAAGGGTTACTACTTGGTGATTAGGTTATTTTTTTTGTATATTTTAATTTTCTCATTTTTTTTATTTTTCTCATTTTTCATATTTTGTTTTATTCATTTTTTCATTTATTATTATTTTTGTATATAATCTTTTTTCTCTCATTTTTTTTTTTTTTAGCAATTATTATTTTTTTTTAACCAATAATTTCAGCTAATAATTTCCAATAATTTCGGGTGATTATTTTATTAATTTTTACCAAGCTCTCAAGTATTCTTTCAATCATATATATATATGTTAATGGTAATTCAAAAAAAAATTAAGTTCTTTAATTTCCATTAATAATAATAATTAATTATTAATTAAATAATTAAATAAATAAATATAAATATTATTTTATAATAAAAATACAATTTATCCTTTAATGATTAACGTAATTAATATGTATATATTCTTCCTCAACTAATTAAAATCAATCAATTAATTTATACATTTAAATCAGTAGTAACTTCCTTTTCCTCAACTTTTATTTCATCAGAATTCTGGCCTTCATTATCATCGTTACCTTTGACATCACTGCAATCCCTACCAATAGAAGGAAAAGCAGGATGACTGTAACTAGGCCTTGATTCTGGATTGTAATGGAATAAACACAGTCCTATGATGGTGCTAACAAATGACACAGGATAAAGATGATGCATCTGCAAATTATAATAATCGATTAGTGGAAGGAACTATCAAAACCAAATTCTAGTTATTATTATTATTATTTATTTACCTGGGCACCGAATAATAATAAACTAAATATTAATGAATAGAAATGAATTGTTTGTAAAGAAAGATTAAAGAATGTAGCTGATGATAATTTGAAAAGTATTGGTGCTCCAGTATAAAAAAACACCATTGAAATAGTATATGCAAGTAGCATCCCAACTAAAACATATGAAATGAGGTGGTGTGATGTGGTGTGATTTGAGAAAAAATTTTATTTTATTATCAAATTTTTGAAATTATTTAAATTGATTGATTGTTTATTTGATTACTTACCACTACCTCCACTCCATTCTACAGCAGAAAGTTCTTGACGCTCTAAAATTGAACTAAAAAAAACCACTTGAATTTTTAATATATATATATATATATATATATATATATTAATTTCAAATAAAAATTTGCAACTTACAGTTGAATACCACTGATAATCATTGCCCAAAATGCTAATTGTCCAACCACCTCATACACTGATCTTTGTCTCACAAATAATTCTTCTAGTACATTACTCGCACCATAAAGTGTTGCACCTATGATACAAAATGCATCACCAAGTCCCATATTCACTGCTGTTAAATAGATAAAAATTTTTTTTTGTTTATAAAGGAAAAAAGTTTACAAATTATAAACCAAAAAATTTGCAGTTTTTTTTAATCTATATATAACTTACCACCACTAAAATCTTGTCCTGAGTCAAGATCTCCTGCAAGCAATACTCCAATACCAACAAGACATATCAACACTCCAAAGTATTGACTCCAATGATATCCAACCTTTAGGAATACGATTGATGATAACATACAAACTGGGATTGCCCACGTATCAAGCAACATTACGGAAAGAACTGAGGTGTAAGCATATGCCTTTACCACAAAATAATTGCCTTCAACTTCAAACAGTGCAAGCACAAAATCTATATAATAAATAAATAAATATATACGTATCATCTAGTTATAATTAATTGTAGTAAAATAACAATAACAATAACAATAACAACAACAATGCTGTTGTTGTTACTACATTCATCTACACCCATCATCTTTAATCATTTACTTACATTTTAAAAATCGATAATCCTTCAGGTTAAAAATATCCAACCAATACCTAAATCCCTTTTTGTAGATGGTTAGTGGCGTATAAATCAAATTTAATGCTACATAGGTAAGAAACGTTTGAAATGTAGGAACGCTGATATTATAGTTCACAAATAATTCATTACTGGTAACCATGGTCGCCGTAATACAAAATGACAAAAATTGTCCTAACGCTATACTAATCAGAAATTTGGGTGTAAAATAACGGGAATTTATTACTCGGTTGTAAAAATTTTTGTCAGCATGATTAGTGTCGGTAGTGGTGGTGTCATTAGTAATATTACCATTATTGGTATCACTATTGAGTATGACATCTTGTTGCTCTTGTTTCGACATTCTTGCAACTTTTTTTGTGTGGTTTTTGTTCAAAATAATAAATTAGGTTTTTGAGACTATTGAAAAAGTCTCCAACTTTTATATCGTTATTTTTTATCGGACTAAGCCATTGTTAAACAGTTGAACTGTATATTGATTACAAAACAAATTGAATATTGTTTATATGCCACATTACACTCGTTACACTCTGGGCAAATTTTTTTAATGATCTCATACAAAATCTTGTATAATAGATGAAAACTTTATAACTGTAAATACATTGATGCAAAATTTAACTTCTCTATCATCATTAAACAAAATTAATAAAATGTCAATCAATTTTTTAATTAAATGAAAAACATACATACATAGATAATAATCTCATCCGAAACTTTGACATATGGGATAATATAAGTCTTGAATAAACATCTATGTCGTTTTGAAACTTTTTTAAAACAATTATCATAGTCAATTTAATCATTAATTTAATAAAAATGGTACAAAAATCAAATTTTGCGTATATATATTCATTCATAAGAGCCTAAGCTACAAGATGATGTTTTTTATTATCTAAAAGTTTGAAAAACTTTATCCATATACTTTTGGGTGTACCTACATGTGAAAATCATTTATTGTGTGTGTGCATTTCAACAAAAATGTAAATATCTTTTAATTTAATTATTTCATTCCTAATACATATATATAAAATATATGAGTATAAAAATAAAAAAGTAAATATTAAAAAAAAAAACATGTTACCATTACTTGGGTTCATAAAACCGTTTTTTATGAATCTCTCTAAAATTAATTAACCAACACTAGATGAGATCTACAAAGCTTGGAAAGCAAGTTTTGTAAAATATACTTGATGAATGCTTTATCTGGTTGTATGATGGGCAGGTTTGATTATTTGAAATGCCATATAAGTATTTAAATTCAAAAAAAAAAACAAAATAGTTCTTTGCCTATTACCATATATTTTTGTATCTTGCTAAGTATTTGATCGAATTGAATGATAATAGATTTAAAAGAAAGCTTGCACATAATATTCTACAATTGGTATATTATTGTTTCTTGCTTATATTATCTAATTATTTAATCGTTATTATTTATGTAAGAATAAAATGTAAAAGGAAAAATTTTAAATGTGTAATATTATTATTTGCATTTATTTCTACTTGTACTTGTAATTGGGACGCGTCAAAACAAAATTTTAAAATTTTACTATCATCCAATTTTATTATTTTTCAACCTGCGGGAAATGTCATGCGTTAATTAATAATAATAATAATATTATTATTATTATAATAATGTATTTTCCGTGTGTTTTTCGTATTAGTGTATTAGTATGTTTAATCAAGTTAAAGTTAAAAAATAAAATGTTTTGTAAGAAAAAAAATGACCACTTTTATTTGTGGATTTATCAGTTACTTAATAATAAAAAAGGTCCATTTTTATTTGCGACTTTATCAGTTACTTCAGAACTATAAAATCTTATTCTCATATTCCATATAATAATAATAATAAATGACATCACGGAAAAAATCCAGATTGCTTGAAATAACGGAAAAATTCTGAAATGCCATTTTTTTACAGGGTAGAAGAAATAGGGTAGAATCAGGTTAGAGTAGTGTCAAAGGCATAAACATATGAAGACTTGAGGTTACACTAAATAACAGCAAGTGCCGTATGCCATATGATCATCAAATAAGGGTTACTACTTGGTGATTAGGTTATTTTTTTTGGTTTGCCTAATTTGTGTTGGCCACATCATCAATACTAACATCAAGAAAATAAATCACACGTAAACCTACGTAGGGTTCAGAATTGGCCAGCATTATGTCGATATTTTGGTAATTCTGTTAACATTTCCGCATAATGCTGGTCAGTTTTAAACCCTACGTAGGTTTACGTGAGATTTATTTTCCTGATGATTTTTGATGGAACAGTCTGTCCGTTGACACGTTAAACCACTGTTGTCTTTGAAGTTGAAAGTCGGAATGATGAATTAGTCCCATGCTCATATTTTCTACAGAAATATCGGTTATGTATGAAAGTAGAAAACATTGAGTATATAGTATAAAATAATATTACTATGAAAAATTAGATCGAAGGAACAATTAGAAAAAAATAAAAGAAAAAGAAGTTGAAAAATCTCAAACAGAAAATAATTAAACCTACCAGGATTGTTAAACAGTTGGTCTATGAGGAGTAGACAAAGTCATAGATGAACAATTTGTCATGAAAAAATCAGCTAACAAAGCCAAGTAAGAAAAGCTATTTCCAAGCTGAATAAGAAGAAATAAGAACAGCAGTATCAATCAATATCCAAAAGACTGGTAAGGAATGAGTGAAGATAAAATGGTACAGGCACAAACCCTAGAAGATCATTTAGATTTATCAAACTTACCTTTGCAATAACGAAATAACCGGTCTAGACATAAGTAAGTGCAAAAACTACCAACCATAAATTGAACGGCAATAAAATTACTTGGTAAAAACACAAACTGAGAATCAGATAATTTGGTTAGATTTGAACAACTTATGAGATTTAATTCATAATGATTGTTCAGTTCCTTGCAACAATAAAATATCCAGAAAATTTGAAGTTTTAGATTAATACTAGATGTTCTTGAAAGATATAATTATTAACTCTATGTTGTAAAGATAGACAGAATAGCAAAAGCCATCTACAATCGTGTCAAAAGGCTTAGGGTGGCTATGCAGCGATATATTGCTTCAGTCATAACAAAGTTGATGCTCGGTGGAATAATATTAAGAAGCTCTTAAAGAACAAAAATTCGAATCTTTTTTAAGGAAGTTTGAACATCCTATTTTGGAAAAATTGATTCTCAGAATTATAATAATAATAATCATGCTCCAGTCGGAAAATACTTGAGAGAAAGAGAGAGAACAGGGAACCAAAAAAGAAGGATACTTGGAATACTTGCAGAAGATCGACAGAATAAAAGAAGACACCTCCATTACTCCTTCAGAGGAAACTTTATTTCGAACTGTCCAAACCAAAATTAGCAAAAATGCTTCCTGAGTTATATAAGAAGACCACATTGAATAAGTTAGATGGGAAAGAAATAATAATAAAAATTCGCTTATTTGATGAGATTTGCAGTTATCATTATGCTATCAGTTGAGTGACTGATTGGTAAAAGATTAAGCAATAGAACATACAGCCTGGTTCCTAAAAATAGATTCAAAGCAAAAACCTGAAACTAATATTAAAAGACAAAATGGAAGAAATACAACTAAACCAAAATTACGTACATTATTGAATTATCGTGGATTCCATCGTGTAATTGGTTATTGAGGAAGAATCTTTTGTTCCATATTTTAATATTAACAATATCCGAAGCAATATTTAAAATTTAAAGTAATGAATGAAATTAATTTTTATTTACGTAATAATAACAATAAACTGATTTCATGAATATGAATGTATTTATTCCGGAGAAACGGAGTTTTTACCATTTCACATTAAAATATTAATGTGTGATATCTACCAGTTTTACTAAAACTAGATTCTAATGTTTATTGCTATTATTATTATTAACATGAAACCAATCAATGTTTGATATGACGAATATAAAAATTACTTTATATAGTTAAAATTACCATTTTAATAGAAATAACAGAATCAAAGAATGTGATAAAAGAACTGAGAAGGAAGAATAAATAATTTAAAGTTTCAATTTGATTAATATGATGATAAAAGTTTAAATTTTGATAATCTGGCAAAAAAATCAATCGGAAAAAATTTTTAAAATTTGTTCTTTTGATCTTTATTTGGAATTAAATCTACTTTTTACTTATTTATAAATTATTATTATTATTACGATAACAATAATTTATGTATGATTTCTATTTTGACGCTTTTTATAATAATAATAATAATAATAATAATATTTATACTAAGGAATATTATAATAATAATAAGAAGGAATAATTTAAATAAAGTAACCTTTCTTACCAAATAATAATAATATGTAATACAGTAATAATAATAATAACAATTGATTACCACGTGGCTTTTTCTCTTTAATATTCTTGTGCAAAAAAAAACGTTTTTTATTTAGTTACAAAATTTATTTGGTGTAACATACATACATATTAATATGTTTAAATTAGAGTTGGTTTTTCAAAAAAATCAATCAACCAACCAAAGCTTTGATAAATTATATAATTCGTTAAATTTATTTTATTGTCCGCTCGCTCATGGACTGACTAATACGATATTATTATCATTAATATGGAAAAAATCATAGAAAATGGAGTTATTTGTTGTTTGTTGTAAATTTATTATTAATTTAATAAGTAAATAAATATATTAATAATAAATAAATAATAATAAATATTCTAATATCACACACATCACACACAATCAACAACCATCTAACAAATTATATACAATTATATACAATAATAATAATAAAAGAATTACCGATGATAAAAACAAATCATCATCACAAACCTAATGTTATATATCAAAATTTTTCAAATATATAAAAGGCCTAATAAAAATAACTTATTTTCCTAAAAAATTTACATTTTATTTTTTAATTAATAAAATTACAAATCTCTTGCGTGCTTTTTTAAACTCCACCCACACCCACACCCACCAACCCACCCCACTATTACTATCATTTTTTTTGTATTTTACTGACGCTTGCTTGCTTTCTACTCTCTAAGGAAATAAAAAATAGTAAATTGTTGCTAATTTACCAAATTTGTAAATTTAGATCAAGATTACGCTTTGTTATCACGCTGTTTTGATCTAAAAAAAAACAATTCTTGAAATCTAATTTAAATTTTCACGTTGTTGTTTAGTTTTCTTATTTTCCCTTAAGTAATTGTAATTATTATTTGCTATTTTTAAAGTTCCTCATTAAAGTTTTTTTTATTATTACATATATTTATACATATTATAAGTATATTTTAACGAAAATAAATACCTTTGATATATTAATAATCACCCCTATTTTTTACTTTATAATATAAATTAATTATATAAATATTATTATATATTCCTTTCTTTTCTTTCTTTCTTTCTTTCTTCCTTTTCCATCTTTTTTCCTCTTCCACACACAAACTTGCGAAATTTTTCTCTCTCTCTCTTTTTTTTCTCTGAAATTTTCCTACATTTATTATTATTATATCTCTAATTAATATATATATATATATATATATACATAATTTTTAACGATTTTTATGAAAAAAAAGCACGCAAAGGAAAATAAAATTTAATCTCCGATCAAAACTTTCTTTTTTTATTAATTAAAAAATAATTCCTTCAAAAAAAAAAAATAACACTTATAAATATTAATCATTTCCCATCCACCCACTTGCTCGCTCGCTCACTCACTCGTTCATTCTTCTCCCAAAGAAATCAAAATCAAACAAATCAAACAAATCAAACAAATAATTTAAAAAATAAAAAAATGCATACTACAACTACAACCAACTCTTTCACAGCCTCACCTTTCACGACTTCTTATTTTTTTAATGATCAACAACAACAACAATTTCCTTCTGCTAACAATGCCATCAACAGAAACACCATCAACAGAAACCATCATAATACAATGACTAATTCCTCTTCTTTGGCTTCTTCTTTGAGTAATGATTTTACTTTTGCAAACATCTATCAACCTTCTTCACCTTTCATTCAATCAAGTTATCATCACTTTTCTACTTATCCTCCTTCTGCTTCTTATGGCTACAATAATAATAATGTCAACAAGGTTTATACAACCGAAAAATATCCGTCCTCTTTCTTACCACCTGAAACTGGCTCTTCTGCTTCATCTTCAATACTCTCAACTTCGCCATCGTCGATTTCTTCTTCCTCATCCAATAGCGCTGAAACTCAATTTTCACCTTCTATTAAATCCGGCAACGGTAATAATTGTATTGGTAGTAAAAGATTGTCAATGTTGTTTATGGAAACTGATCAATTAACGACATTGGATGAAGAAGAAAATCAAGACATCGATGATGATTATTATAATATTACCACTAGTAACAATAATAATTACAATAATAATAACAATAAAACTACCGATTACTTTAATTTCCTTCAACAACAACAACAACAACAAGCCAATAATAATAATGCAAGAGTATTGAAGACTAAAGGATCTAGAGCTTCACTTCGTAGCAATCGCAGTTCTCTCTATTTGGATCCTATTATGGAAGAAGGGGCTAATAATTTCTTTTAATGATTGCCAAGATTTGGGTAAATGATAAATAATCGGTGCAGTAATCATTTGGTAGCAAATTAATTAAGGATGGATGTGATGGAATAATGTGATGGAATGTGTAAATAATAACAACAACTAATATTATTTTTTTTTTTTTGCATATTGTTGTTTTTTTTTTGTATATTTTAATTTTCTCATTTTTTTTATTTTTCTCATTTTTCATATTTTGTTTTATTCATTTTTTCATTTATTATTATTTTTGTATATAATCTTTTTTCTCTCATTTTTTTTTTTTTTTAGCAATTATTATTTTTTTTTAACCAATAATTTCAGCTAATAATTTCCAATAATTTCGGGTGATTATTTTATTAATTTTTACCAAGCTCTCAAGTATTCTTTCAATCATATATATATATGTTAATGGTAATTCAAAAAAAAATTAAGTTCTTTAATTTCCATTAATAATAATAATTAATTATTAATTAAATAATTAAATAAATAAATATAAATATTATTTTATAATAAAAATACAATTTATCCTTTAATGATTAACGTAATTAATATGTATATATTCTTCCTCAACTAATTAAAATCAATCAATTAATTTATACATTTAAATCAGTAGTAACTTCCCTTTCCTCAACTTTTGTTTCATCAAAATTCCGGCCCCCATTATCATCGTTACCTTTGACATCAGTGTGATCCCTACCGATAGAAAGAAAAGCAGGAGGACTGTAACTAGGCCTTGATTCTGGATTGTAATGGTATAAACACAATCCTATGATTGTGCTAACAAATGATATAGGGTAAAGATGATGCATCTACAAATTATAATAATCAATTAGTGGAAGGAACTATCAAAAACCAAATTCTAGTTATTATTATTTATTTACCTGGGCACCGAATAATAATAAACTAAATATTAATGAATAGAAATCACTTGTTTGTAAAGAAAGATTAAAGAATGTAGCTGATGATAATTTGAAGAGTATTGGTGCTCCAGTATAAAAACACACCATTGAAATAGTGTATGTAAGTAGCATTCCAACTAAACATATGAAGTGAGGTGGTGTGATGTGGTGTGATGTGGTGTGGTTTGAGAAAAAATTATCAAATTTTTGAAATTATTTAAATTGATTTGATTGTTTATTTGATTACTTACCACTACCTCCACTCCATTCTACAGCAGAAAGTTCTTGACGCTCTAAAATTGAACTAAAAAAAACCACTTGAATTTTTAATATATATATATATATATATATATATATATTAATTTCAAATAAAAATTTGCAACTTACAGTTGAATACCACTGATAATCATTGCCCAAAATGCTAATTGTCCAACCACCTCATACACTGATCTTTGTCTCACAAATAATTCTTCTAGTACATTACTCGCACCATAAAGTGTTGCACTTATGATACAAAATGCATCACCAAGTCCCATATTCACGGCTATTAAATAGATAAATGGGGTTTTTTTTTGTTTATAAAGGAAAAAAGTTCTACAAATTATAAACCAAAAAATTTGCAGTTTTTTTTTTAATCTATATATATATATAACTTACCACCACTAAAATCTCGTCCTGATTCAAGATCTCCTGCAAGCAATACTCCAATACCAACAAGACATATCACCACTCCAAGGTATTGACTCCAATGATATCCAACCTTTAGGAATAGTATTGATAATAACATACAAACTGGGATTGCCCACGTATCAAGCAACATTACGGAAAGAACTGAGGTGTAAGCATATGCCTTTACCACAAAATAATTGCCTTCAACATCAAACAGTGCAAGCACAAAATCTATAATATTATATATATATATACACACATGTATCATCTAGTTATAATTAATTGTGATATAATAACAATAACAATAACAATGCTGTTGTCGTTACTACACCCATCCATCCATCATCTTTAATCATTTACTCACATTTTAATTTTTCTTTCCATATTTGGTTAGTAATTTCTACAGACAATTGATAATATATACATTATTATTAAAACGATGGCAAGATGCAACAATGCACTCTTTTAATCTCGAACCACTTTTTCAATTGATCCACCTCAGATTGTTGTTTTTCATATTGAATCTAGCTCTAGAATTTTTTCAAGTACGTCCTGGTTAATAATAATAATGAGCACCTTTGCATGAAAAGATGTGCCATACTCTTAAAGAATGCTTCTTGAGCAGTACGCAATATGGTAATTCAAAGATAATTCAATTCTGAATTTTTGGCATTGCCATTTTCTACTATGTTCCTTTTCTTAATTGTAAAAACAATGACATCATTGACACTATCACCGTTAACATCGTCCATCAATTATCAACAGCGAAACGAGCAACTCGAGCACCAGTGCGAAAAAGAGAATTTGTAGTAGTTTTTTTTTTTGTTGAAGCGCACACACACACACACAATAAATGTTTTTTTTTTTCACATGTAGATATACCCAAAAGTATCCGGACAAAGTTTTTTAAATTTTTAGATAATAAAAAACATCGTCTTGTAGCTTAGACTCTTATGAATGAATATACATATACGCAAAATTTGATTTTTGTACCATTTTTATTAAATTAGTGATTAAATTGACTATGTTAATTGTTTTAAAAAATTTTCAAAACGACATAGTTGTTTATTCAAGACTTTTATTATTATCCCATGTCAAAGTTCAGATATGATTAGTGTGTATGTATGTATGTTTTTCCATTTTAATTAATGCGGGGAAAAAAAAAAATTGATTAACATTTTTTTAATTTGGTTTAATGAAAATGATGATGATAGAGAAGCATCAATATATTCACAAGAATCTAGGAACAAACTGATATATAAAGTTTTCATCTATTATGCAAGATTTAATATGGAATTATTAAAAAAATTTGTCGAGAGAGTGTAACGAATGTAATAAACAATTTGTACAAATCAATTAATCTTAATAATTATTTAATTGTTTTGTAATCAATACACAGTTAAACTGTTTAACAATATTAATAATACCCTTTTTTGTGCAATGTTTAACAAACATAAGATGGATTAGTCCGATAAAAAATAACATATAAAAGCTTTAAATAAATTCTTTTTTAGATTTTTTTTTCGAGGAAAAGTTGGTGACTTTTTTAATAAAGTGACAAAAACCTAATTTATACTATTTTGAACAAAAAAAACCACACAAAAAAATTGCAATAATGTCGAAACAAGAGAAACAAGAGAAACAAGATGTCGTACTTGATAGTGATGCCAATAATGTTGTTGTTAATAATGCCACCACCACTACAGACACTAATAATGTGAATAATGATAATAATGATACTGACAAAAGTTTTTACAACCGAGTAATAAACTCCCGTTATTTTACACCCAAATTTCTGATTAGTATAGCATTAGGACAATTTTTGTCATTTTGTATTACGGCGACCATGGTTACCAGTAATGAATTATTTGTGAACTATAATATCAGCGTTCCTACATTTCAAACGTTTCTTACCTATGTAGCATTAAATTTGATTTATACGCCACTAACCATCTACAAAAAGGGATTTAGGTATTGGTTGGATATTTTTAACCTGAAGGATTATCGATTTTTAAAATGTAAGTAAATGATTAAAGATGATGGGTGTAGATGAATGTAGTAACAACAACAGCATTGTTGTTGTTATTGTTATTGTTATTGTTATTTTACTACAATTAATTATAACTAGATGATACGTATATATATATTTATTTATTATATAGATTTTGTGCTTGCACTGTTTGAAGTTGAAGGCAATTATTTTGTGGTAAAGGCATATGCTTTCACCTCAGTTCTTTCCGTAATGTTGCTTGGTACGTGGGCAATCCCAGTTTGTATGTTATCATCAATCGTATTCCTAAAGGTTGGATATCATTGGAGTCAATACTTTGGAGTGTTGATATGTCTTGTTGGTATTGGAGTATTGCTTGCAGGAGATCTTGACTCAGGACAAGATTTTAGTGGTGGTAAGTTATATATAGATTAAAAAAAACTGCAAATTTTTTGGTTTATAATTTGTAAACTTTTTTCCTTTATAAACAAAAAAAAATTTTTATCTATTTAACAGCAGTGAATATGGGACTTGGTGATGCATTTTGTATCATAAGTGCAACACTTTATGGTGCGAGTAATGTAATAGAAGAATTACTTGTGAGACAAAGATCGGTGTATGAGG